AAATTAAAATTGGTATGCCTGAGGCCTAAAAGCACCAGATTCTATCTGATCTTGGAAGTCAAACAGGTTGAGTCCTGGTTAGTACTTGGATGGCAAACTACCAATGAATGCCAGACTTTATTTCACAGGAAGGAATTGATAAACCAAATTGCAATATTTCTTGCCTAAGAAAATATATGAAGTTGCCATGTCAACAGATGACTTGAAGGCACATATGGACACACAATGGTGGACAAACATACCTGAAAAATGGGCTTAAACACTGTATCTAAGCCCTGTTAAAGGAATGTAGCTCTTCAAAATTGGCATTTCAGTTCCATGATCAGTAAGATCCCAAAACAATTATCTGCAAATTAAAGGGAAACTGAAAGAATATTCTAATATTTGACAAAACGCAGCATTATCTGCAATGAACATTTATTTCTGCCTCTTGTCAAATAGCAGAAAGTAGCCAATAACCGCTTTGCCTCAGGACCTGTTATACAGTTATTTAGTAGAATCATAATGCCATAAATGGATTGCAATCATCCATGTCCTAAGTAAAACCCTCACATCTGACCATCATGAGGTGCTGGTTCAGCTGCTTTAATACTATCCAACTTAAGACACACTGCTGCTTTATTGTGCATTTATCAGTTACATCTGACGTCAGGCAGACACACAATGCCGCATTCTCTACAACAAAGATTTCTTTCCACTTTTATCCGAGTAGAAGGAACTATCTGAAAATACTTTTGCTTCAAGATCTAGGGTGATTTGAAAAAGAAATAAGACGGGAGATAATTTAAAGGAAAAAGAATCAGATAAGGTAAGGAGAGTTCTCTTACTCTTTAGTAATTCTGGAAAAAATAGACTAAGAAAAACATTTTTTTCCAAAAACTTTACATGGATGACTGCCAACACAAAGAAGCCTTGCAATTTTTTTGTGATGAGAACTATTCACTCCTGGTTTGTTCATTTCTTTAATAGTGTCTAGTTCTCCCTTCTATATTTCTCCTCACCTGGACTATGGGGACGCCACCTCTCACCATCTCTTCGTGAACCAGCAAGTCGCCATCCTCCATCTTCCTCCTCACCATTTTGCTCTTCTCTGAAGATGCGCCAGTTCTCGCTCTCAGAGCGTATAAATTCGTGCTTCCTTCCTGCTGTTACAGTTACAGAATCTTCAAAGTTTGGTCTTACTGCAAACAAAATTAAGAATTCAGTTGATGAGTCTGCTCATTTTGAATGGCATCTATAATACAATTTAGAAATGCACAATTTGAATTGCACAGTGTTAAGATGAAACAACGGAAGACCAAATATAGTGTTTCTTTGCTTTTCTCCTAATGATAGGTTTATTTTCTTGAAGCTATTGTCATGATTTTTGTGCAGTAAAAACAAATTTAGCATTTTAATCTTCAACAACAAGATTTAGTAAAATAGCTAAGCACAGCTGTAACCATTTAAGAATGTCAAAAGTTCACTCTGCAACAAGTGATGGAAAAGCATCTGCAAAGTTTGTTTGCATAAACAGATGCCACCTGATGTTCAATGAGATTGCTTTACTATACTTCAGAGGTATCAAGACACTATTCCTGGTCACTGCAGAGTTTATAATGGCACAAGGATCCTGTTGTTCTTTGAATGGGAGGTGTTTTAAGCCCTGCATATTCTGAATCAATAGAAACGTTCTATTTTCTGTTAAAAACATCCTATAAAGTATAAATCAACATAATGTTCTACTAAATAAAAATATGTAAAACCTGTAAAGGATGTCTTTAAAAGAAGCATGTGTTCCACCAGTAATTGTTTAGTAAAATTTGGCTCTATATGCCGGGTATTATATTTGTATTATTTGCAGAATACTTCAACTTATGTTATACATTGTTATGTACTATATATACTTATGTATACATCTAGAAATTTTAATTAAAAAATAACTCAAAAAACCTGGATAGACTTGTTCATGGATCAATGTAAGTAGTGTACCTTAACTCTTATTTATAAAGGAACTATCCCCTTCTCTTATGTAGAGTGACAAAAGGTAAGAGTGTAGTCCATCCCGTGGAAAACTAGAAGAAATAACACTCTCTACTCTCTTTGTTGTGGCACCACACCTTACTTTTTTGAAGGTCCTGACTGGAAAATAATGGCAACGGCAGCAGTTTAGCATGTGCTCATAAAGGAATGCTGACAGAATAGAGGGACTTGGCACTGCTTTTAGATTCTCCCAGGACCAGGTAAGCTCTTGCCTTTCATCACTCTACTCAGGGAAGGGGATGGTTTGTTTTTTGACAAGAGTTAATACTGACAAGAGTTAATACTACACCTTAATTTTCACTAAGCAAAAGACATTAAAAAATTCCTGGGTGTGCAAATGGTGGCAGCCTGGAGGTAACTAGTCGTCTGAGGTGATGCTGGTGCTTTTCTCTGCAGAATGACCCTCAACTTATTCACAGATCATATCGAATTTCATCATTTTGCCCCCAAAACTTTCCTTGGACTTATGTATAAGGTCGCCTTATGCATGCGTATATATAGCAAATAGTAATATACAGACAGTGTTTATATGACAGCATCTGAAAACAAAAACTGAAGACTATACACTGTCTAAGCTCTAGTTTATTTTATGGACTGGAGGTGTAAACATTAGTGGGAAATGGTTCAGTCTTGCAGTCTATAAAGGAGCATTAGGGAAAGTGCCATTCTCCTGAATTGGAATTTCATAAAATTTAAAAGAACTTTAGTGGGCAGGCACCATGCCCACTTTAGGGTTACAATCCCTAAGCACACTTATTAGGGAGAAAGTCACAAGAATTCAGTAAAACTTGCTTCTAAATAAATGTGCAAACAAACAAGAAGTTGTGGAACAACTAAAACTTGTTTAATAAGAAGTAATAAATTTTAAATGTGGAGCACAGTCAAATCAGAATATAACTTTATGATTTTTTTTAATAAACTGAACTAAGAACAGTTTCAAATAATTACATCCTGAAGTTCCTGAAAAGAACTAGCTAGGAGGGATCTGTGTTTCCTAGTTCACATTTAAAGTGTGCACGGAAAAATATGCTTGTGTACTATTTAAAATGCTACATGTACACATGTCGTTTATACCCCTAGCACGTTCACTGTATTGGTTTTAAATTACTTGGCAGAGTGGTCCGTGTTTGGCTATGATTTCCCAGGATGAAAAGAAAAAAAGAAAAAGATCTGTGGCTTTGCCTCAAACTAATTGACTGGACTTCCTGAGGAGCAGGAGCAGTGAAAGGGCACCTGCATTCCATGTCTGACCCAAAGCCAGCAATGGTGTTTATGGAAAAGTTCAGATACAACAAAGACATCCAGCCAACAAACTACAGCTATGTAATTTGAAGTTTTAAAAGAGGCTAACTTCAAAGTACTGAAGTGGTTTTTGGGAATACAATCTTTTGAGAACTTGTTTATTGAGGATTTAAGAAGAACTAGAATAGCAACCAACAATGTCAACAAACTTTCTATAAGATATTACAAATAATCATTCCGTTTTGTACTATAATAAGATACTTTATTTCATAGCATCTCTCTCATGCTGTAATAATATGCAGAACTAACACTGTTTTCAAATCACTTCAAGTATTATGAGCAAATTTCCCGGATAAAATGCAGTGTGCGGTGTTGTGGTATTAAGACTTTTTTCAAGAGGAAGAAAAGAAAGTCAGATAAACACCCAAAACTCACCAAGGGGAATATAAGGAGGTGGCTACAATTTCTAGGAGGGACTCAGATCAAATCTGGTCATTTGTATTTCAGATTTGTCAATGAATTAATCACAGCTTTCCCATAGAAAAGCTATGGGGGAAGGGGAAGCTCGGGGCATTCTTATGAAAAGCAGACTTTATACAACTGCATTCATATATTTCAATATCACATGTCTACTCTTTCAGATAAAGAAGTGCAACATTCCATGACACTTCTTGCACATAGTCTTGCACAGATTACTGAACAGATGAAGTAAGAAAGCTTCCCAACTGCATAGTGGCATTTCTGCTCTTTCCTCTAGCCAAAAGTACATTTTTGTGCTTCATTTGTGCTAATTGTAAAAGATGTACCATGAAAATAACAGAAACATATAAAATGACAAAGCCAGTTTTTATTCCACAAAATAGGTATTGAAGTATAAAATTGAAAGCTGCCTGTAATAAAGAAACAACCTATACCATGCTATACTAAGAGGTACAAGCAAAATGAAAATATATTGCAGGATCTTCAATATGACGTATCCTTACAGCCATGAAGGTCACGGTCATGTCTCAGTTCAACGGTGCTGTGTCTCAACATGTATTAAAATGTTCTTTACTAATGAAATTAAGAATTAATGTTTTGCATTTTGTGGGAGGTTTTAAAAGGAAAAAACATGAGAGAGATTTCAGTTTCTAAGTAGCATTATATTGGTCTACATTAATAATTTTCACAGCAGGTCTTCAGAAGTTTTACAGCAAACAATCACAGTCTTTGTTTCACAGATCCTCTTAGGGCTGACGTTCGATCAAAGTCCTCACATCAGCAGCTAACTTAGGAAAAATGTGAAATGCTGGTCTGCATTACAAAGCTGCCCTCACAAATCATGCAAGTGGTTCTGGAAGCTGGACATTGTGAGCCTAATTTTAGCCACTGTCTTTACATTTAAAAAGCAAATCCACACAGTATTTCTTCTGAACAGAATAGACTTATTCACTGTAAATTTGTGGTGAATTTTTTCACCTTCAGTCCAATATTAATTGCACAGAACATGTTAATTTGTCCCAAATTTAAAGAATCATATGAACAAATAATGAATCAGCAAATTTCTTTAAAAAACAAAGATATTAGAAAGATGTCCTGAATTTAAATTTAGATGTAAAGGATTTAATACTGATTTTTACATTTGATATATAATGCACTGATAATTCCTATTGCATTTATATCAGATTAATAAATATCATACTGATAACCCCGATGTTAGTAAGACATGAGTATAAAAAAATCTTAAAAAGAGGAAAGCAAAATAGAAGCATCATCTTACTCTAAGCTGCTTGACTTAGAAGGAAATATATCTGATAGTATGAATTTTAAACAACTATCACAAGAAAAGCTGAATGGAAAACAGATCTGAGGAATTTCATTCCTTTGAACCTCCAAGTAAAACCCTAAGTAAGATTATGCAAACCTAAAAACCCTATCCTGATTAAGAGGGGAAAAATGCACCCCTTTCTCCAAGTTCTTGTAGATTTCTCCACAGCTGCTAGGGGATGTGTTGGGTAAAGAAAGCTCTAACAAATCAGCATTCTTTTCCACATGACCACAGCTAATTGGCCCCCCTGCAGACCAAATGACCAATCACATCAGCATCATATGAAAACCAACCCCCCCACATTATAAACTGTGGAATGAGACCTGAAAGCCCATTTTGAACAAACATCCTTCAAAACCGGTTGTCAAAGGGGGCTTCTTCCTTGCATTGGGATCACTGTACAGAGAAACGCCTGGTGTACTTATATCCAAGGCATCTACCTTGCTCCCTTTCCCCGCCGGACAGACAAGAGCTACAAAGATACTGGTAAGTACATGAGATTAACAGAACACTCTGTTATAACACTAAGATACCCTGCTGTGTGCTTTAGTTTTTCTAAAAACAAAAATACGTTAAAGGTTTGAGAAAGGCATGTTAAAAAATACCAGTAATCCAAAAACACAAACTTTACTGTGGGATTTCCCCAAAGTAGATGTATTGTTGAAGGCAACTTCGAGGGCAAAATTCCATTAAGAAGCATATCTTCTGTGCAGGAAAGTACTGAAAATAATATCAGAATGCTATATATTTTTATGACTTAAATAACGTGTGAAGCAAAAACTACATTTTAGAGGGGCTTTTCTTTTTTTAACAGAACCACTTTTTCTCTGGTAAAGATTCAGATTTTAATTACTACTGAAGTTGAGTACCTATGATCAAATTATTGTAGAGTCTTAAAAGAGGTATGTCAATTTTACCTGAGTAGCAGATGTAAAAACATGCACTTCTTAAAGAATCCTGATTTTGACTTAGTACTTGGCATGTGATTTTGAAAAGAAAAGAAAAGCAGTAGCTGCAACAGTTAAAAGAACCAGATCTGTAAATACTTAAATTCCAAACACTCTCTATTCTTTTTTTAAAGGCTGTAAAAAATACAATGCTGACATTTGTAATGAATCACAAATTCATTATTTCATGAATGGCAAGAACTACAAGATGAATGGACATTTGTGTAGCGGTGTAGATTATTGCAAATTGACATTTGTGTAGCTATGTACATTACTGAAAATAAATACTCATTTCTTCTTAACTATCAAGTTAATAATTTAAGTGATTCTGTTGTGTAAACCTGGGAGTATTTCTGCTCAGCAAATGAAAAAACCCTTTGTTGTGTTGGATAAAAATAAAATTCTGAAACCATTATTTAACATTTCCTTATTGAGATTCTTTAAACTTTCACATGTGTCCCCTACGGATATTCTATAAATTCTAAACAGTGTTATCATTGAAATAGCACATGATTTTTGACTATGACTTCTTGTTCACATACATCATTTTCACTTCCATTCACTGGAGAACCATGAAAATCAAAGGAGAGAAATACATGTACTGCATAATTATGTTATTCTATGAACAACAGCTTTTTATGGGTAATGTTTTGAAACTTCAAAAAATATACATGTAAAATAACTCTTACATCTATAATGCTGACAAAAGACTAGCACAATCTTTATTATTCAATGACATAGTCAAGTTAATCTTGTCCGGTATGCAAAAGGATCTATCTTGTAGCACCTTTGCTATTCACATACAGACTCCACTTATAGCTTCAAGGGTTTATACTTAAGTACTTCATCCAGCTGATGAAGCAGGCTTAAATCAATGAAAGGTACCAACTTTTTCTCATTCCCAAATGTACTGCAAGATCCTTTTGCATGAAGATTATATGTTATATTTTGCAATGTTGTATTTGTGCAGCTATCTGTAAGACCTATTCTAAAGAAATATACCTTGGTAACATAAAAGTTTAAGACTACATTATTTACTGTGTGCACCTGTTAGTGTACCAGGATTCAACTATGTCTCTAAAATGTAGCGTTAATTTTAAGCATCCAAGGCAAAATGTTATTAAATGTAAAAGGATGAAGGTAACCGAAGAAACAGTCATTTAAGGGACCTGCCCTTCCTTTTCATGATGCTGGTTTCTTCCATTTCACCACATTGACCTCAGCCCTGGCAGTTGAGATAGTTCAAAATATGGCACTAAGCTATGTTTGTTGAACATAGGTGCATGTGTGTACACAAACACATATCTGGATTTATAAAACAGGAATCTTCACTTGAATTGTGACAGGTATTACTAGAACAATTAGTTCACACCACAAGGAGAGAATGGAAGGTCTCGCTCCTTAACTACATACTTGGGAGATAGTTTACTTACTCTATGCAAATAGTGAACTCTTTTAACAGAGAATAGCATTTCAAATATATTACAGGTCATCATACTAGTGCACCAGGCCATTAAAAAATCCCTACGAATAGCAATAATGTACACCCTCAAACTTCTGCAAGAGCATTCAATTCCAAGGTCTTTACATCACCTACTTTGCATGATCCTTTACATTCATTACTCTGTAAGAACAGCTACAGGAAGAGTTACTATGATCCTTAACAGCAGTTGAAAAACAATTTATTCCTTCTCAGCTGACATATTTTCTGGAGACCCAAATACATTACTTCAAGGTAAATACTATGTGTTCAACTTGAATTCAAGGTAAAATCACTATAGTTTTGATAAATCTTATTGAGGAATAAATTGATGGAGCCACTTTTACAGTGATTATCAACTAGGAGAATACATTTAACGAACACCTTAAGAAAAATATATCCTTCATGAAACTGTATTCAAAAAATATTCTAAACAAATGTTTTGAATTATTTAACTTCAAAATATAATGTTCACCATAAGACAAAAACTTTGCATATTTAGTGTTACATCTTGCTCTGTAATACTGTTCAGAAAGCCAATATTTGAAATCTTATAAAGCATACATTTTCTAAAAATGGACTGGTGTGTAGCAGCAGGAAAGGAAACAATCAAATGGGCAAAATTTGACTGCATTCAGTGTCACTGACCAGAGGTATAAGGTAGGCTTACATAGTCAGGCAGGATACAGACACTCTATTCCTAAACTTCCTGCAGATATTATTGCCATGCTCTGAAATTTCTCTCCATGAACTCAAGACACATATTTCTTTTCTAAACATTAAATAGAAGCTGTGAATTTCTAAACCCATGTTCAGATTATGCTCCAATTACAGAAGATTAGGGACATGGGAACAACATGACCAAAAACAGAAGTTTTATTCTTAGAAGCCATAACTAGTTTAGAAATGAAGAATTTACACCAGCTACATACGGTTGCAAAATATTTCAGTGAATTAAAAATGTAATGGTGGAAGATGCAATGAATATTTCATTTTAATTGATTTGAGTCTTCGAGTTTCTGGAGAGGACATTCAGCCTCTATTAATGTTCAAGCACTTCAAAAGTCCTAATTCTAGTGGCACCCAACAAGCATAACATATTAGGTCGTTGATGAAATTTTTAGTAACTGAAGTTGAGGTTCTGAATTACCTAAATGTGTATACAGGGGCAACCTGCAGGATTTTTGCATTTCATTTTCGATGCTTTGTTCAGACTGAAGGGTGTGACCAGTGTGTTGACATTTAATTTAAAAAGAAAAACAAATTAGAGGTTATCAATATTTATGTAACTATACACCAATTAAAAAGATAATTTTTAAAAATCACGAAGTTAAACTAGAAAATGGATCACGTGGACCAAGGGCTAGAGTCAGCTCATCAACCATAATGTAAGAAAAAGGGAACAACCAATTATTCCATTATAATTTCTTTTGTTGGCAGTTATCTACTTTGAATACTATAGTCATTTTAGGTACTGCTCACAATTACACATTTTCTAAGTAGAAAGTGGTTGAAATGGCTAGAGCTTCACTATTTGTCTTTTAGAAGTGTCCAGCAGACTTGTCATAATTAGACTTTCAAAAGCTTCTGACAAATATCTCATTAAAGCCCTCTGAATATTTTTACAACAGCTTAATAAAGAACAATGGCTAAAGGCAAGGAACTAATTGATAGCTTTCAATACCATGGATGTAATCAGTAGTGTATCTTAAAATACGTGTGATTTGATTTACTCATAAATTACATGGAGTCAGGTGTTCAAAGATTTGTGGATGAATTGCTCAGTTTGGTTTTTTAAAATCCACATTAAATACAAAGTATTTTCCAACTTAAAAAGTAACAACATTCCATGTAACAAAGTGTTAACAAAGACTGAGCCAAACAATCCCAATTAATATATGCCGATAGAATCCAAGCATAGATCTCAATGAAAATCTACAGCAATAAAAATGCTAAAATTCATCATAGGGATTATCAGCAAATACATGCATTAAATAGAATGAAAGTATTGTGAGGTTTGTACAGATATCTACACTGCAGAAATATTTGAAAAGTTTAGAGTTCTGGTCACTCTCCCACCCACCGCGCCCCTCAAACGCTTGTAGCATTTTAAAAGGTACAGAAAAGAGCAGCAAGAATATCCAAAAATATGTAGCATTTTAAAAGGTACAGAAAAGAGCAGCCAGAATATCCCCAATATCCTTGGGGAGACAGGTTCTTTATTTTCAAACTCCACATTTCATAAATTAGAAAGGCAAACTGCTAGGAACAACAAGCCAAAAGGAAAATATTGGCTGAGTTGCAAGTGAATTGTTTCTTTTGCTCCAATGTTTGTTTAAGTGTACTTGTAGTACATATATAATCATTGCTGCAATCCTCTCAGGAACCCTACTGCACTGGAGAAGTTTCTTTTCCCCATTCATCTTTCTCTCACTTACAAAGTAGAAATACAATCCCGTAAAGGAAAATATACTTTTGTTATGTGTCACATCTAATTGATCTCAAGTACCTGCAAGAGATCCTAGCTCATCACAATATTTATCATATAAGTGAATGAATATTCATAAACATGACATAATACCAGCATTTTAATTAATATTTCTCTCTTCAGCAGTTATTTAAATTTTACTGTTATAAGGTTTTAATACAAATACTAAAAACTCCATATGGAGAGAAAAAGCAGGATATAAGCTAATAATAATAATAATAATAATAATAATAATAATAATAATTTGATTTAAAAAAAGAAGACCTCTACTCTATTCTAAGTGGTCTTCCTGTGAGTCACTTGGGGCTTGCAGATTCCTTTGTGTTCAAAGAGCTCACCATATTGGTGTAAAGGAATGGTGTGTGCATGCCCATCCAGACTACTCCCTCCCATTAGCTCAGACAACTTCAATTTCAAACCTGTCATCTGGACACTGACAATTATTCTAAAATGGCACTAAAAAGATACTTTCTAAAACTATTTGGAAAATATTATGTCACATTAAACATTATCCAGAGTACGTTGATTTAAATATTACCATTTTGTTCAATACTTGAGTAATTTTCCTCTTTTTTTGAAACTAATGTGGAATTTGTGTAAATTGGGGAGCTTATGTCAAGTTGGAATAAAACTTTGTTCTTTCTGCCGAAGCAAAAGCTGAGCTGTGAATCAGGGAGCCAAGAACTTTTCCTTCTGCTATAAACTCAGTCTCAGTGAACTAATAATAATATGGGAAAAATAATACTGACCTATTTTATAGGGCTATTGCAAAGATGACTGAGATAATGTATAAGAAGCACTTTGAACACTCTAAAGCACTACAAAAGGCTAAGTATTACTATTATTCTTCACTGCCCCATCAGATTATTCAGCTGCTTATGTTTCTGTATCCCAGTGCTACTAACCACACATCTTTATCAACACTTACTTTCTAATCTATAGGAATTTAGTAAGATTATTTACCATTTCTTCTCAGCCCTTTAAGAAACACAGCAGAGGTGGACAAAGTGTAGTCATGTAGGCTGCATGCAAATTCATAGGGTCTATGTTGAGAGCCTTAGCTATTGCTAAAAAAAATCGGAGTGGAAGTGGCTAGCTCTAGAACAGTGCTTCCTTCTCAACCTGTGGGTCCCCAGGTGTTTTGGCCTACCTCTCCCAGAAATCCAAGCCAGTTTACCAGCTGTTCGGATTTTTGGGAGTTCACATTAAATAAAGGCCAAAACATCTGGGAACCCACAGGTTGAGAACCACTGCCTTAAAGGAAGAGAAGAGAAGCTTTTCATGGACACGATTAGCCACCTAACTGTTGTTTGGGGGAAGATCCAGTCGTCAAAATAGGCTCATAAAGAAACTGGCCATGTCAGAATGGTCATTTTCTAAAGTGACCTTGATACTTTTAAAAGGGGCATTGACCTTGTATACCTGAAAAGGCTCAAGTCTGGCCCCCAGACTCCTAGAAATGCAATAAATAAATAAATGGATGCAGCTTGCCAAAGTTCAAAGACAATGGCCCCTGAATCCAGCAATTCCATCCCTGGAACACAGAGTATTTATTTATTTCCGTCACTTTTACCCCGCCCTTCTCACCCCCAGGGGGGGGGGACTCAGAGTAGAATGTTTTGGTTAAGAGAATGGTGTTCTATGAATACAGTCATTCCCAGCCTTTGGTCCTCCAGTTGACTTAAGCTCCCATACTTCCTAGCAGCTGGTAAGATGACTGGGATTTCTGGGAGTTGAAGTCCAAACACCTGGAGGACTAAAGGTTGGGAACAATGTCCTAGGTGATCAACATCAGAGGAGTTTTGGACAGCCAGTCACCTCTATACTTTAAAGACATTTATTCTAGGAAAAGCAGTTACTTTTGCTAAATGATCCAGAAATTATAAATACTTTAGGTAACCAGCATACAGTTTTGTTAAAGTTCAATTTCTTTAAAGTTAATTTTTAAATCTTTCGTATACATGCTGAAAACATATACCATACTCTGCTTTTAGATAGCATGTAAATATAACAAACAAATAAAAATGTAATTTCTAGTTTCTACACAGAAGAGAGCATGTCATTCACATATTTATGACTGCATCAAGTTTAAAAACAAAAATGTAAAATGACTGAATCGCTGTAGAACTGCAGACAATATAGTAAAAGGGAAAGCAAGCAAAAAATCACTAGATATTAGTTTTGCATTTTATTATGTTACTACCTTTAAAATTCTGAGTTTTCTAACATCAAAAGGAAATGGCTAATAGAGACCCAGAGGTTTTTTAAGGAGTAGGTTTAGAGTTACTAAACTTCCAGGGGAACAAAAGCTGCAAAAGGCATAACTAAGAACTTAAAGTGAAAAATAGTATGCAATTGTACCCTTATTGACAACACAAAGAGGCCGGATCCTATGTACCTGGCAAATTTGGTTTAGAGTTGGACATTTTTTCCTCAGGACTTGCTTACAGTTTATATAATATTTTACATATTATTCTCTATCCCCTTTTTAATGCAGCTTTACATCATCACTGGCCTGAGTATGTTCAGCAGAAGAGGCTGTATCCCAGGTACCACAATTCTAGACAGTAAAAATATCGTGGTGGTAGCAGTAAAATTGAGGTTGAAATCTCACAAAAATTAATCATGAGGAAAATTCTATGGAATAAATATGACAAGAAAACTTGGGAGATCACCACCAAAGGAAATTTATATCTATAACAATAGAATTAACTTTGATAGAGTACTTTATACAAAGTTATTTCTATAACAACAGAAATAGCTTTGATTGAGTACTTTGTTTAAACATTAAAACACCTATCAGTTTTTAAAAAGGCAAACCAATATCCTACTTTCTGATTTCTAGAAGATTCAGACTTGCAATACTACTTTCACTACCTTGGAATGAAAACTAAAGACCACAGTTAAAGCTAAGAAGTCAAAATATGAAAATTGGCTCATGCTTATAAACTATACAAAGGTCTGACAAGGTCAACTAACATTGGAGGTTCTTCTAGGTAATCATTATTGTACCATCAAAGTAGTGGCAAAACCTGGTTCTCCAAAATTAATTTTCTCAGAACTGCTTGTTTTAAGACTCCCTTGGTTAGCCATAGGTGGCATCTGGTCCACTGCCAATGTGACAGAATCTCTAATAATCATCTGAACTACAGATAAACAACCATCCAAAAAGTTCTTCACTTTTTACTTTCAGAAGATGAGGACGGAGGTGATAGAAGGCAACAACACCAAACCTACTGCTCCTCTCCTGACTCAACGGTATCCAAGAATGGTCACTAAAGATGGACATAGCACACTTCAGATGGATGGCGCCCAAGGGAAAGGCCTTGCATACCTAAAAGATGCCTGGGGAATACTAATGGATATGCGATGGAGATGGATGATGCTGGTGTTTTCTGCATCTTTTGTACTTCACTGGCTTGTTTTTGCAGTTCTCTGGTACCTGCTGGCTGAAATGAATGGGGATCTAGAGATTGATCATGATTCCCCTCCTGAAAACCACACCATATGTGTAAAGTACATCACTAGCTTTACAGCTGCTTTTTCCTTTTCACTGGAGACACAGCTTACTATTGGTTATGGCACAATGTTCCCAAGTGGAGACTGTCCAAGCGCAATTGCTCTACTTGCTATACAAATGGTACTGGGTCTGATGCTGGAGGCATTCATCACAGGTAATTATAAATTCTTTCGTAATTGAATACTTTATGTAATATGCCTGAAATAAAATGCTTAAAAACCGGAGGAGGGGAGCAAGGATGGGCCACACCATGCAATAGTAAAAACAGCAGTTGGACAGGAATGTGTATTCATGGTGGTAAAATAAGAAGAATGACATAAAGACTTGGAGCAATAGTGTTAGTTTTTAGTACAGTATAGTTACTGTACAACAAATCAATTTTTCTCAAATCAACATTTAGTATAAAATCTTCTTTTACATTATTCCAGAGGATGTGAACAGTTAGCAGTACTAGCTTTTGTGTAGGTTCCTTTAAGTCTGCCTAGACATATTTGCATGGCTTAAAACTAAAAGTACAATTCTAACTACAAGAATAAATCCTATTTTATCCAACTGGATATTTCCCTGTGAACAAAGTAAGACCCCAACTGATCAATAAATACGGGAGAGCTTTCAAAGATTATTCTTGTTCTCACCCTGACCCTAAAAAATGTCTATTACAATTGATTTAAGCAGGGACAATTTTGTTTTTAAAATTACTGACCATAGACATGTTAACATGATCATCTGAACATGTATACCACCACAGAACACATGACAGCATTTTGATCCTAATATGAAACCAAAAATTAAATCGTTCTTGGTTTCTATGTAAATGTATAAGGGCAACAGGAAACTACACACACATACACATATGCATACATACATATATATTGAATATGATCTATATGTAAATTCTCCTTTTATTTAGGTGCATTTGTAGCAAAAATTGCTCGTCCAAAGAACCGAGCCCTCTCCATCCGATTCACCTATTCCGCAGTAGTGACACACAGAGAAGGAAAGCCATTTCTAATGTTCCAAGTGGCTAATACCCGCCCAAGCCCACTCACCAGTGTTCGGATTTCTGCAGTTCTTTATGAAGAACAAGAAAATGGTCAGCTTCATCAAACTAGTGTAGATTTCCATCTAGACAGCATCACTTCTGAAGAGTGCCCATTCTTTATTTTCCCCCTGACTTACTACCATTCTATAACTCCATCGAGCCCTCTAGCCATTCTCTTACAGAGGGAGGCTCATCGTCATTTTGAGCTAGTAGTCTTCCTTTCAGCCACACAAGAAGGCACGGGAGAAACATGCCAGAGGAGGACATCCTATCTTCCATCTGAGATCATATTACACCACCATTTTGCCTCCATGTTGGTCCGAGGAGCCAAAGGGGAATATCAGATCAAGATGGAGAATTTTGACAAGACAATCCCAGAACTTCCAGGAGCAGATCCCAAAAGCTCAAAGAGGACTGACATGGAGATCCGCATCAATGGACAGCACATTGACAGCTTCCAGATTTGTGAGACTCGTCTGATGGAATAGACTTTAAAGTGGCAAATGGTTTTTAATTTTTTTTAAAGAAAAGAACTGGATTAGACTTTTGTGCCTTCATTTTTATTCCTGTTTTCTTGTGCTCTTTTTGTTCTCTATCGTTGACTTCAGAACAATGTGCAGAATAAAGAGCATAATATGCATGCAACTGGATGAGCCGCTGGATTAACGGCACAAAAACTGAGTCAGGGACAAGTAACACTGCACAAATTCTGGAAAACAGAAGTGCTACCTGCTGAATTCACTAGACTATGATTAAAGCTGCACTGAACCTGAAAAAAGAGACCTTCAGAACCAGACAGCTCATAAAAATCTAATTAAATGACATGAGGGTAAATACTGTAGCAAAATGGACACAACTATAGTAAATTATATCAACTAAAATAGAAACTTCTCTTGAAAACTCTAAGATCACTCAGATTCTTTGAATCGGCTCTCTCTTGCTATAAGGTTACAAGAGAATATGCTGATGTCTAAACATGCTATGAAGAATGTTGCTAGTATTTTCTGTGGCAATGAAATTGCAATCCTGCTGTGCTTGTTTATTAAGGAAAATCACAAGCATTTGCTGAAGCTCTTTGTTCCAGCAGTTAAGAACAAGTTCAACATCCTCCTTAGGCAGTTTTGGAAAAAAAGTAAATGACAATATACTTAACATGTATTAGAATGTCACATTTTACTTTTGGACTATTTTCATATTTAAAATATGCATGGATCCAACAAGTTCTACTCTCCTATCAACAACTATCAACACCTCATGCTTCTGCCTTGTTGCAAGTCTGAGGTAGTCCTGTCATCAGAAAGATCCACTGCTTCATGCATTTATTGCAGTTTCTTCTCAACCCATGCAATACAGAGATAAACAGACTCTATACAATAATTGTATAAACATTAATTATGAGACTTTGAGCAAAAGGCTCTATGGCAAGTATGAATAATAATTATTATCAGAAATAAGTGTGATGGTTTATTTGTTTTCAATTAAAATGAACAGTTTGTAAATGGTCCAAAGGGCCACTCTTATGTTTTCTTCATGTTTTTTTCCCCAACTAGAGACATTAGTAAGTATTCTGTACTCAAAAATCAAGAAAAAACTATAGTAAATTAAAGGATAATTAAACAGCTCTTCCTAAAACACGGCATAAGGATCAATATTCTTACTTACAAATGACAATTTCTTTACTGATCTGTTAAAAGGAGCTGAACCTTTAACTCTTGGACCTTGATAAGCATATTTATATGTATATAGTAGTGCTGATGTTGATATTTGCTTTTAAAAACATATAGTATTTTCTAAGAAACTATTCCTCATTTACCCAAATCTTTGGAATGGTTTTGTGCCTATCAGCAAAAATGTGGATGATGTGTGTAACTGAAAACTTGGTAGGGTTTTGGACAATCAGCTATCAAGTTACAGTGGGGCCACCTTCCAGCTGCTAAAAGTTTTTTAAGACCACTAAAAGAACAAATATTATATTAAAGTTACAAATTTTGATGTTCTGTATAAGCAACTGACAGAATAGCTTGGCATTATACTCAGATAAAAAATGTCTTTTGAAACTGAATTATGAGGGAGCAGGGAGTCATGATTATGTAAGTTAATAATAGTCTCCATTTGGAAAATATAGTAATAGACCCTTATGTTCTCTAACAGGGTTTTCAAAATATTTATTCCCTTGTCTATGCTGAGGCTTTAATATTTTCATTCACAGTGTACTGTAATAATGGCTTAGCCCAATGCAGAGCCCAATTTAAAATGGCAATCACCAACCTGGATTCATACACATTAAATGGTATTTGGATTCACTTTCTCCTTTGTCCATTTTGGTCACTTCAAATATTTTTCTTTCTGTTCAACCATGAGTTTCTTCTAAGCATTCAAATTGTTAACCTATTTGCCCTATTATACCTCAACAAAATATCAACTTATCTATCCCAATTTTCTAAAATTTCTTCCAATTTTATGAAAGTCCCCACTGTGTGACATATCCAGTGCATTCAATAAAATTAATGCAAAAGTTCACTCACATAGTCACCCGGCCAGGAGATGATGTGTTTTTTTTCACATTCCTTTACATGAAAATAAATGTGCAGTGCCATTAAATTGGTTTTACGAGCACATTTATTATTTCAGATTTAGACAACAATTTGCAGAGACAGAGGCAAATTGTTCTTATAATGCAACAGTAGCTACCTAAGATATTATTAAGACAGGATTTATACTAAAACTCTAGAGCTCCAAAATCAAGTGGCTACATATATTGAAAGCATAACACATGACAAAGCAAACAGCCAGGGTGGAAATATATAAATACTTGTATATACTTGTACATAATTCTCTGTCCCATCTCTGTTACACACATTGTAGAGGAATTCAAGCAGAAACACGTGTTTATTTAATTCATTGCTACTATTCAAGGATCAAGAACTCAAAACTGTTATCTTACTAGTGTATAGATTATTTTGGCTAGACATGGGAAATGATTGTTTAAATCCCTTCTCAGCCGTAGGTTTTCTTGAATAAAAAGAATGTTGTAAGGAAAAAATATATAAAGGAAATATTCAGTTATTTGATGTACTGAACTGTGTTACAAACAAATAATTGTAGTCTCTGAACTCAGAACTTGACGGTATCAATGTTACTAAAATAATCTCGAGAAAACCAAATGATTTATGGAAGACTGAAAAAAGTAGAATTAGTCATATTATTAAAATCACAAGGACTAAAATAAAACTGCAAAACAAAATAATTTAGATGCTTTAAAGGGATACAAAGGGAATTAAAGCAGATTATTCATACAATTTTCATGCAGTAATCACCATAGAAATCTGGCATTGTTGCAAAACACAGGTTTATGTTTAACAAACAAAAAAAACCTCCTTACAGGGAAGGGTAAACAACAGTTATGTGCTCAAATAAAATTGACTTTCAGAAGAAATGAGCCCTTAGTTTCTCCAAAGTAAAGCCTAAAGTTTTCACTCCTACCTACCCAAGAATTCACCAGAACCCTGAGAAAATTACTGAAAGATTCACATAATTAATCCTATGTAGGAAAACTGAGCTCAAGGTTGCTCAGAAAAATTTAGCTGCATTGAGTCTCCTTTGTGGAGAGAAAAAGCAAAGTATAAATAAACATAATAATTTTCTTCTCATTTAGGGAATTTTTAGGAAGGGTTGAAAAACAAAATGTTAGATATGGCACTAAAAAGCAGAAGAGCACAGCATATCGTGAAACGCATCTTGTAAACACACACACACACCCCTAGTTCTGGAGATAGCAACTGCATTCTAAATGGCCTAATCAATGTTGACCACTCACAAATTTTATGTTTGGGAAAGAGGTGGGGCAGACAGTGCCAACTTTAAAAAAAAGATTCCAAGTGATTGTAAGATGTAATTTCATGTTATGTTTAAAAATGTAATGCTAGTTATGATGAAATCACTGTATTCAAGAAATAGGAATTTTTCATAGAAGGCTCAAATTTTACATGACTCCAAACTCTATCTTGCTCATGGGAAGAACATAAGGTAAACTGTATCCTTATTACATACAATAAAGTACCTATTTACTTTGAGTAATACAAAATGGCCTTCGAAAGGGCAACAAAACACATACCTGGTTCTTTTCGTCCTGGTTTTTCAAACCGTCTGTCTCCCCTAAGAATGAACAAATCATGTTTAGAAACTTTTCAAGGGATAACATCTGAATTTTAATAATCCAGAATAATGTGTTTTATTCATTATGTAATTTAAAGAGACAATTCCTATAAATCTAGTCATCAAAACCATAACCACAATGAAGATGACCTTTTAAATTATGTGTATTCAGCTAATCATTTCCTTAATAATCCAAGACTTCATCTCCCCGTACAGACTCCTTAATTGTCTATACATTAAATTTTACTCTAAAACAATACACTAGAAAGATAATACAAATTTCAATCTTTCAAAAAAACCCAAAAAAAAACCCCAAAAAACCTGAGCACTCCTCTATACCAGTGGTTCTCTACCTGTGGGTCCCCTGATGTTTGGGCCTTCAACTCCCAGAAATTCTAACAGCTGGTATACTGGCTAGGATTTTTGGGTATTGTAGGCCAAAACACTTGGGGACCCACAGGTTGAGAACCACTGCTTTATACACTTATAGCCATTACAAACTATCCACTGATTAACTATTAGTTACCCACTGCAAAAATGTCATTGATGCTTTCCAACTCAATACTTCTCAATTGATCCTTTACAATAACATACATACTACTAGCCCAATGGAATCTGCCTTCCCCCCCCCCCCCCCCCCCCCCGCTCATATATTTGCCCCTATAAGCAAAGAGGCTATAAACAAAGCAGAAGGAATACAATACAATATGCCTGTACCACACTAACATTTTAGCGGCCCCCTGGTGGCACACCGAGTTTAACTGCTGAGCTGCTGCATTTGCTGACTGAAAAGTTGGCGGTTTGAATCCGGGGAGCTGGGTAAGCCCCACTGTTAGCCCCAGCTTCTGCCAACCTAGCAGTTCGAATACATGCAAATGTGAGGAGATCAATAGGCACCACTTCTGCGTGAAGGTAACAGCACTCCATGCAGTCATGCTGGCCACATGACCTTGGAGGCATCTATGGACAATGCCGGCTCTTCAGCTTAGAAATGGGGATGAGCACCACCCCCCAGAGTCGGACATGACTAGACTTATGTCAGGGGAAATCTTTACCTTTACCTACATCCACATTTAAGGATTTGTTAGTCACATTCACTCATGATGCTTTTGAAAGCATGGGTAAAAATGTATGCTGGGTAAGCAGCCTTTCCACACTATTAGACCATTATTATTCACCACTGATCAGAACTACTGGAACTTGCAATCAAGTGGTGGGCTGCATGTTTTCCACTATGCCTGAGAAAAATAAACATGAATGCAGAGCAAGGATTCTACTCACACAGCTAATTCTCTGATATCCACAACAGAAGCTAACATTTTAAATATATATGTACCTTTCCTCCCAGCTCTGTGATCTGTGCATTTCTCTGCCCCCTCCTCGTCCAAATCCGCCTTCCACGTCATCAAAACTTCTTTGGTAGAAACCACTTTCCCCTCTGCCTCTGCCTGAAAGACAAAATGGGACTAATACTTCACATTCTTCTCAAATTTCTTCTAGCATCAGTATAACTAAAAATTACCCTTCCACTTTCCCCCAGTCCGCAGCCAATACTACTATTAAAGCAGAATGAAAGAGTACTCTCTGAGTATCATGAAGGAACACACATTTTGGAGTTATTTAATCTGCTATTATTGAATCTTATTGCTTGGCTTAGGTGAGCAGAGAGTTTCGCTTAAAATTCTGTGTACTGCTCTCAACACTTTTCCATTATTACTCTCAATTTTAGTTTTCTTAAAAGGAATGTTTAATTCATCCTATTTTCCTAGTTATCTATTTTCACTCTTCTTCTAATTATAATGCTGAAAAGGAAACAAAACAGAACTCCGAAGAAACCCTCAACCCCACACCTAAAGAAACACTGAAATTACATATTTTCCTATCTTGTTTGCATATCACTTATCAATCAATTTTAGAAATGCAACTTTCTCATGAGTTCTACTTCATTTAATTTTTAAATTGATTGTGGGAATATAAAGAAAGGAAGAAATAATCATGTGCATTATTGTTCAGCAACACTTTGAAATTGCAGGAGTAACAGTGCAGGAATATCACCCACAATCCTACAATAATGTGGCCAGTATCAATGATACTACTGAGGTAAGAATTATATACCAGTCAATACTAAATTGCAGTGCACAGGGTTCTGAGCTTCTGTGAGATCTCAAAGTAATCCTTAAATCAACAGTAATTTGGATTAAAAATGTATTATCTAATCAAAGAACTGGTAAAACAATGATAGCAAATCCCACATATTGCTGGAAAATGAAATTAAAGGTACTTTGCAAAGTTGAAATCACAACTCATTTTTTATTAATATTATTTGGTCTTCAAATCTATCTTCCAC